TCTCACATCGCTGGTGATATTGAAGGGCTACGACAGCTTGACGTAAGCACTCACTCTGCCCGTGCTACGCGCGTATAATGCTCGCATACTATTTACATATTTCTCAGGCACACCTTTCCTGAGTAGGCAGTTCCAAAGAGCACATCGATCAACAGAATCGAAGGCATCTTTGATGTTGAGGAAAAGGACTACGGTGGGCCGCCAATATGTGTGATGGTGCTTCAACAATTGAAGCAAAGTCAAGACGTGGTCGATGCAGCCACGACCTCGACGAAACCTAGTTTGCTCCTCATGAATCTAGCTTTCACGAGCGCCAGTCAGTCTGTGATGGATTACAGAGGCAAGTAATTTGAAGGCGATGGGGATCAGACTGATTCCTCTATAGTTGCCGCATTCCCGAAGTCAAGCCTCCTTTGAAGATGGGAACCATAACGGAGCGGCTCCAGTCGGTAGGGACAGTTTCCTGTTCCCACATTTTAAATAGTAATCCGTATAACTCATCATCAAGAGTCGGGCCCCCGAATGTGAAGTGGTCTGGATGGAGATCATCTGGTCCATTGGTTTTGTTCAACTTCAACAGTCCAGTTTCAAGTTTGAATTCTGGGCGAGTGGGCGGATCCAAAGAGACAGCCCAGGGAGCAGAGCCATCACTGACCGAAGAAAAATCGAACAACCCGGCCAAGAAAATTGCTTTCAAAATGCTAAACGCAACGCTCCAAATGTTTTGGCAAATTGTGGATAGGCTATGCACTACCGCCATAAACTGTTTCACTAACACCAGGTCTCCTGCTGCCCATTTCCGGTATCAGATGGAATAACTTTCGATAATTACCAAGGCCACCGACCACCTCCATCTCTGACGCATGAAGAGACCACCAGAATTCGCGGTCTCTCTTCAGGCTAGCACGGGGTTTTGCCCGAAGCTCTTTCGAGTTTCTTCGTGTTCACTTCCATCCGCAATATGCCTGCGAGCATCGATAAGTTCCAGAGACCGCGAATAGACCTAATGTACCTGTTGGCTAGTAGACTTACCACATGAGGATTTGCCTGCTGTTAGTAAGGTCTGGTAAACATGCGACCAGTGACGTTCAATTGTATTCAGTGATTGCTTACTGAACTCGCATGGCAGCGTACTTTGATAGGCATTCAGAACAGCTGGCTTCGTCAGTTGGCTAGTGTCAATGCGCTCACAGCGTCGTGGTGGGCTCTTGCCAAAACGCATTGGCATGTCAGCGCATACAAGTGCATGGACGGTGTTCACCCATATGTTCGAAATCAAGCGACAGTTCTGGACGCAGCCTCTCCATCGGTAACTGATTGTAATGTGACCGATTTGCGTCCAAGGCTGGTGGGCGCAATGTCACCCTCTGGCGAGTGCTGTGTTGGAACTTAGTGTTCGCAGGAAATAAGCGGGCAACATCACAAAAGTGAAGTAACCGCTCACCGTTATCATTATGGGAGCCTACACCGTGCTGACCGCCCAAATGCATTTCATCAGTGGACAACTTTCCAACTTGTGCGTTTAGATCCCCTGCCAGCACAACAATGTCCGTGATTCTTCTGTGGCGAGGAGCTCGGTAAGTTGGCGGTAGAAGTTGTTTTTTACCGAATCATCGCTACAGTTGTGGGCGCGTAGGCAGCGATGATGAATAGACAACTAATAGTGCCGAGCGACTTCGAAGCTTCGAACGAGCTAGCCAATCTGCCCGCACACATCCGGCTACTGACTGGGATCCAATCAACCAGAGCAGCTTCAGCCCGGAGACTCAGGGCAATGCCAAACCCTGCTTGGCCGGTGCTGGAAGCTGCATCGTCAACGGATAGGCGCAATGAGAAAATACTGCTGGTGTCACTTGAAGAGGATCGCAGAGTGAGCAGAGAGCTCGAGTCTTGCAGTCGGGTTTCCGATAAACACCAAATATCGATGGAGAGGGTCTCTAATGTTCGGGCAAGTGCTGCCTGTTGACCGATCTGTAGCAAAGTGCGTACATTGAAGTATGCCACTCAGAAGGAGGATCGAGGGCTCTAAATGGAAGCCGATGAGCTGGGGTGGATCTATGGTTGGACATGAGATTGTCGACAGGGCAGGAGTGATGCTCCGCGTTCACATGTGAGTTGAAACTGGAAGATAAACGCCTAGCAAAGCATGTTTTGGGAGAGCCGAAAAACGGGGGATTAAAAACTAGGGGGATAAAAGTGAAGTTGGAACGGGACCGTAAGGGAGAAAAGACGTAAGTGGGTGAATAAGACAACGGGAAGGCTTGAGCAGTAGCATCCAAACCCCTATCCACCCTACACGATGAGGCGGTTAGTGCGCCGTTTATTATGTTCCGCGGTGGCCAGAGCATCAGGAAATTGTTTAATGAAAAATGCATTGTAGTGCGTGGGCAGGACACTGTCAGGTTGCCCAGGCCTAGACAGGAGAACGATTAGGGTTCTCAACCAAAGCCTTTGGTTCAGAAACCTGACCGCAAGGCAGCGGGTTTGGCGTTGGGCTAAAAGGAGTCAGTTTAAAGGAATAAGGGCCACCTCATTCCAACCCCCAACCTGGAGGATCAGGACGCTGAGTTTGTCTGGCCTCTAACCATTGACTAATCTGGTATGAGTGGCTCTGAAGGTGCAAAAAGCACCACCCGGCATAGCTCATTGGATCTCTGAGGCACACAAACCATCACACCACAGTAAGGTCCAGTCCCATTGCGATAGACCTAGTCCAACAGGAGTAGTTTGATTCGATTTTAGTAGATTATTTGGAATACTGGTAGCTCGGGAGGCTTGTTCAGTTATGATGGTGTTAGCAGTGCGGGGCAATTTGATAGCAGCCATTATGTCACCATTCGAAGTGACACAGTCAGTGCAGGATTCATAGCGGTCAAGTAGCAGGAGCTAGTAAACGGCAAACCCAATGATGGATCTTTTCAGCCACTACATCATTCCTTACATAGGCGTAATGAGCCATCAAGTTCGCCTCGTTCTGCCTGGTGATGCATTGTGTTACGGTGGTAATCGGCTGCATAAATGTTGTTGCGACGTAGTTGGGAATCTCGTAGTCGAATTGGTGCGATGGGCATGGATGAGCACTCTGGGCTCACATCGACCATTCCGTTCCCTGTCTGGATGTTGGATTAGGTCCTTTCGAACAGCGGTTGATAATCTTCTTGAGCTCCCTCCGTCTCAGTGGTTTGCATATTTGATCGATGTTAGTATGCATGTTGATGAAGTTGGTTGTTGGGAACCAGGCTTTGATAAACCCTCCATTGTGTGTTTCGCTTTGAGTCAGAATCTCACCTTTGTTCCCGTCAAAGCTGTGACCTTCTTCATACACGTGTGATGAAACCAATGAGGTTGCATAATATTGAGCAGATTGACCCACATAACATTCAACAACCAACTGGTAAATTAGGTGAAGCATTTAACAATCGAATGATGTATACGATCAACCCAATGTATAAAACGGCGGTGGTAATACAGGAGCTATAGCGTCGACGCATCGAGTGCAGCTGCTTTTACATTTTCGGTGGTGGGTAGCCCCTAAAGCGATAAATTGTCGTGGCTTAACGACGCTCTTTTGTAAAAAATAGAGGATACCTCAATTAATAAGACAAGCCTTAGACAGCAGCTCGTTATTTGGTCAGACGGATATCTACGAGCTGTGAGGAATAGATATTAGCGCTTTTGACTAAGATCCAATGATCGCTGAGACCGGGATTCAATAACACAATTGTACAGGCTTTGGGCAGTTTCCGGAATGACGTGGGCCGCCTTGGGTTTTGCTACTTGTCGCAAGTGGCCTAAACTCCCTGATTCAACAATGCATATTTTCAGATACGGGGATTGGGGAGAGAAGGTAATCAGTTGAATCAGTGGAGAAAATAGACAGTTTCATAGCAATGTCCTTGCCACTGATAGGGTCAAACTATAATATCACTGCGAAGTTAAAAAAATTATTCTGAAGCACTTGGACAAACTGTGATCTATTGGTCCCAAAGTGGGTCTTCTATAGTGAATATTAAATGGCAGTGTTCACTTAGGAAATATACTGCGATATTTGGGGCAGGAGCTCCTCCTCAACTGGAAACAGCGAATATGGAAGGTAATGAGCCGTGTGCTATATACGCTCCCATGCTGATCTCCACTGTTAGAACAGATGAAAATCGAATGGAACATAACCAGAAGGATGATCTCGCTCACACAAATGAATGACTGGCACGGTTGGGTTTGTGTTCGGATGAGCGTAAAGAGTTGTGTTCGTGAATAGGGAAAAATCCACATTTTACATCTCCTCTTCAACTTTCACCACCTCGGCGGGACTTCGTTCAGTGTGAGTATTGTTCATGCGCAATTTCGCTGTACTGCGTGACTAGTAGTAACGAATGAACCCGAGCCATTCACTCGCTGGATTAATCCTGCTCACATGCAGGATTTTAAGACAAGTCCAGTACGCACCTTTGGTATCCAACTGGGTTTTCGGAGGCATCAAAGCTGCTGGTGAACTAAGAGTGAATGGAGCGGATCCAACGAGCTTACAGCACAATTCAGTATGTTGATGTTAGCACACTACGTCTCGTGGGCTTTGAATCGGCACACTATTCTGGAACAGGGCCAATGAGGAGCAAAATTTAGAGTTGGTTGTTAGCATGTGATTAGCACCACTTCGCAAGCTCAAGACCGCAGCTGGAATAGAGGAAAAGCTTACGGCTGTTACATGTATACACTGCGAAGTGAACCCCGTTATGGCACAATGAAACGCACTGATCCATTGGCATGCACATGAACCTTGGTAAACATTTATAGTGCAATTGAGTTAGGCTCTAGGGGCGAGATTAAACTCGCCACTCACTCAAGTATTCGGTATCTTCAAAATAGTGGGAACATAACAGCTAGAGACTATGTCCTCAATGAAAAAGCACCTGTTCCATGTTACTGAAGATGTGATACGATGACATACCAGTACTTTGTTGCCAATCTCTTAGTGTAATTAATCACTTGTTTCCGCACAGGCTCTCATTCGGCAGGAACTGAACGATTACAAACTGGCCGAAATGTCCGTCCACCAAGACAGCCGGCAATACACAAGGTTAGTTGACCTGGGTGCGAGCACGTTGTACTAGTTGTTCATCAGTGCATTTGGAATGCGCGTAACTGACTGGAGTCACTTATTGATGTTATTAATGTATATTTTTGTGAAGATTCGTCGTAGTTAGACTCAGGCAGACAGCCACCACACATCCAGGAAAGCGTTTTCCTGGATGTGTGGTGGCTGTCTGCCTGAGTCTAACTGCGACGAATCTTCACAAAAACCCAATAAAACCCCTACTACTTACAAATGATTTATGTTTATATCACCACAGATTTCACCCCACTTGAGAATGGAATGTATCGACCGGTCAGCCTGTCTTCACCATGTGAATAGCTTCTATACGAAACAACTTGCATCTGAAAGCCCCAGGTCCGTGCATGGCGACATGGATCCTTCTTAGTTGCGGCTTTTCGTCATTTATGTTGGATCGTCTACTGTTTGAAATGAATAAAAACCAAATTAAAAATGTCTTCACCATCAGACAAATGCTGTTGGGTAGTATGTAGATGAACTGAGTTGACAAGTGGTTATGTGTGCTCTGGTCTCCTACTGCCTCTAGGGGCTGCAGGTCGCAGTTGGATGCCATTCGGCAGTCAGCCGTAGGCAATCGCGTCAACTGACACCCAGGGAAAGAACACGGGTCCAAGAAACTCACCACACTTTTGCAGCTCAGATACGCCAAGGGCAGCTACACACAAAACGAACATCCAGTGGCTTAGATTCCAAATAGAATCGGTTGACTCGGCGAATATGCTACGCAGGAACTCAGACAATGCCAATCTGTTGATGATAGACTAGGTTTATCTGAAGTCCGTTCTCAAATAAACAATCGGAATTTGCGACCACCAGTTCACCGAACGGCCCAGCGAACAGTCGACTCGAGGTAGGAGAAAAAAGTACCAAGGCATTGTGAACGGAAATGAGTCTTCAAAGACAAGCGGTACGTGAACAACGCAAAAAGAATTCACATGGGCAAAACACGTAAAATTAAAACAGTTACAACTGACGCGCAGCCACGGAGCCTCGGTAATCGATTTCAAAAGCATGTATTCGAAAAAAGAAGCTGGAAGGTATCTCTGTGCACAAAAGTAAAGTTACACTGTTTGGCTGCTCTGACCTCCCTGATTAGATTGTCACATTGCACAATTCAGAGTTATGCTAGAGCAGACTGACTGTAAAGAGACGGATAGAACCAACTGGAGCGTTCAGTTCAGTTGATCCACTATGATCCGAGCACCGAAGTGTGGTGGATCCAGTTGCCACGACTCACATCGCAAAAATAACAATAAATAACAACAGTAAAGTAGTGAGATGAAACGCAAATAGAAATGTTGGGAAAATGGAATCAAGAATGAAATGTGTTAAAATGATCAGAATGGAACGAAAGTTAACAACCCGATACAAGAAACTGAATGTAGGAGTACAACTGACTTCGTGACTGATAGGGTTTCCAACCAGCCTGGCCAAGTCTCTCAATCAATCTCAAGAAGCTTGTGTGCCACGTCATGCCCTGGCCATCTAGCGCTTTGGTCCAACATGGTGCAGCGACGGCGTATAATATACGCTCAGGAAGCCGGGCAAACCGCATACGCAGAACATGGCCTAGACAACGTAAGCCATTATGATTCAGCAAACCTTCGAGTGAGGTACCTGAAAGCTTCTTGTCCAAAACCAACTGGCAGACATCAGTGCTGCTCACCCGGAGTTCCCACCAGACGTGAGCAATACTCCGCAGGCACCGGTGGTCAAACACGATCAAGAGAACTGGCCACGTCTCTGATCCGTACAGCAACATTGGTCTTATCACAGCGTTATACACTCTATCTTTCACTGACAGACTGATATCCCGCAATCTCCATAGATGGTTGAGTCTCTGAAAGGCCACACGGGTCTTGCTGATACGCGAAGTAACTTCCTCGGTGATGTGATCAGCAGAGGTGACACAGCTAACAAGATAAGTGAACCAATTCACCAATTCCAGTGGCTGTTCGGTAAGAGCTAAAACCTGGGGGGTGTCGGTCCAGTCCTGTAACAGTAATTTGCACATCGAATGTGCAAACCGCATGCCGAAGCGTGCAGCGCTACATGTCAGTCAATCCAGTAAGTCCTTGTATAGACCCTGTGCCAGACCCAAGGAGAGCAATGTTGTTCGCATACTCCAGGCTTGTCAATCAGTCACATGGTAGAACTTCCACTTCGGTGGAGTCTGAAAGAAGAAAATCATTCATAATCATTTAGATCATAAAGTTGAAGAGGAAAGGGGACATATGACAGCGCTGGCGAACCCCACTTGCCGTGGGGAACTCAGGAGACAGTTTCCAATATACACTTACACGGCCTCGGGAGTCTTGAGAATGGAAAGGAATTTAGCTGGCACGCCCTTCATGGATAGGTAAGGCCACAAGCTGACGCAGTCAACTGAGTCGAAGGCGGCTTTCAGGTCAAGGAGAACCCCATAGTTGCTCTTTGGTTTAAAACTTGGAGAAAAGTAAATATGCGGCCAATGCAACCACGACCATGGCGGATGCTAGCCTGGATTTCAGTGATTCGGTCGTCGAAGAATGAAACCCATGAGAATTTTGGAGGTAATGGAAATAAGGCTAATGCCTCGATGGCTTTCCCACAAAGTACGCTGATCCTTCTTGTAGATAGACACGACAATTGAAAGACGCATCTGAAGACACTTCTTCAGTGTACAAAAACGTGTTAAATAGAAGCAAATCCAGTAAACAAAGAGTCACCCCCATCTTTCAGCAAAGATGAAATAAGATCGTCGGACCCAGGAGCCTTGTTTCGTCTCAACAAGGAAAGGTCGTGTCGAATCTCTTCCAAAGCGGGAGGTGTGACATCAACTTCCCACGTCAGCTCAGGTGGATCCGCAAGCAGCTGTGTCGAAGCACGCCTACTGAACTGCCCTTCAGAAGGTTCCGCCCAACGGGATAGCCGACGAGGTTAAGAACGAGTCAATTGTCCATCTATCTTAGCTATTGTCTTGCTAACTGATGGCTTTCTCGGACGAGTTTTCAGGATGACCTGGAATAGCAACCGGCTGTTCCCAATAGCAGTGGTTTTCCCCATCTCACTGGTCCTTGCCACAAACCAACGTTCATGATCGATTCAAGGACTCGTTGTCAGGCGTCGTTTCAGCGAGCTACGAAGACGCTGAAACTCAGTGCCCATCGGAACCTGTTTACGCGCCTCGAGCAAACTGATCGATGCTTCAGTAATCCATGCACAGTTACGATGTCTCAAGTTGGGTGCACAGCAGACGTCAAAGGCGTTCTTTATGGCACACTTGAGACGATCCCAATTAGGGTTCGGCTCATCAACCTCACTCATCACCGGCAATCGGGGGGCCAGTACATTATAATATTGTTGAAATGCAGAATGCGAGTTAAAGTTACAGCTAAGAAGATAAGTAGATAGGCGCTTCTTTGAAGCAAGAAGAACGAGTGCCAAGCTTGCGCGCACTAGAACATGGTCCGAATTCAGCCATGTGCTACAAATTGCCAGACAATCTCAGACTGATGTGTACTATCTACAGCTGAGAGCAATACGATCAATTTGGGTCCAGGTCACGGAAAATTTCGGTGAGCGCCAGTTGTGAACGTTTGTGCTGGAAAGCATTGCTACTGATACAAAGGTTGTGGTCGGCATATAGTTGGAGGAATCGATCACCACTGTCTGTTCGGCGTGCAAAGACTCTGAAGCGGCCGCCCAGGTGTTGTCCAGATTCTGAAATACGACCCATTTAGGTATTTATGTCACATCAATCACGATGTTAGTGTTTTTCGCCATGCGAAGAGATGAGAGCTGTTGATAGACATTGTCTTCGATACCATCTGAACTGCAATCAGTAGGGGCATAAACTGAGACGATGAAAAGGCATCTTGTCTTCGCACGTGCTAATTAATACGAACAAAGGTACGAAGTCGAACCGCAAAAGTGCGGCTGTTCACCAGAATCGAGTCGAGTAGATTGCTTTCAGCATGTTTTCTGAGGGCGATACAAACACCGTAAATAACTTGAGCCAATGACTCGGTATCACCAGAGACGCGAAGAATGCAGCAATTATCGTCAGATTCAGAACCAGGGAATCAAAGATTAGTCACAACGCTGTTATCATGTATGCGTGTTTCGGAGACACAGCACGCATCAATACTAAGAGAGTGAAGAGTGAGTTAGTACTGTCTGTTAGCCGATCTGATCCGGACTGCGGACATTAAAATAACCAATGTGTTATGAATCCCTTGGTTTGGTGGAAGAGCGACATGCATCGATGGCAGCAATTGCGGGGTCAGTGGTATTCTCATGCTTAGTAGACTGGAGCGTAACAACCACTAGAAACCTGGACTATATTGCAATACTATGGTCGTCTTTGGGTGACAATAGAGCACACAGAATAATTGAAACAAACAATCAGATAGGCAGTATTCATTGTAAATAAATGAATAATTAGGTTTCCAAAAGACGAAATTAGTGTTTATGTCACGAATATGCGCAAGCAGTCAGAGATCTCAGCTGGTAGGTACTGTGATGGTAACATCAGATCAGAGTGAGTAGATGAACCAACAGAGCAAGCCAGAAGTCAATGGGAGGCAGACGTGCCGGAGTCGATTGCTGGACTCCGATTGGCCGATATTCGTGTGAGTGATTCACCGTTAGTTTAACGGAAGCAAAGGAGGAACCTCATCAACTCAGAAGGGTCGTTAGTTATGGACTTGAACCTGAAATTTATATCGAGGAGTTTGGCTTGCTAAACATGCTGTAATTTTCGCTGAGCTGTCTTCGCCGAATAAACGCTTGTCCCTGAAGGACTGAGTTCTGCAACATGGTGTCAGAGAAGACAGAGACGACACCACCATTATCAGCAACAACAGCAGTACACCAACCATTTGAACTGATGCTTCACTGCCATACAACCATGAGACCTATGAAATAAAGAATAATAAGTGGAAGAGAAGGGGGACTTACCTGAAAACCTTAATGCCCTAAGCAAACATTCAGGGTCAAGGCGCCTACACCTTGTGTAGACAACATACCGTCACAAACAGCTGGCTATCGTGCAAAGATAAAACGGCATCGGCGAGACAGCTTCCTTGCGGCTTTCACTGCCACGCGTCATAATCAGCCTTTACCCCACGGATAACTCAGAAACAAACACACTTTAAATAAGCAATCGGATTAAGAGACGGCTGCAGACACGCAACTAGTGTCCGTTGCGAACCATGTCCTCTAAAGTCTCGAACCAAGCACAAGACGAGTTACGTGGACTACAGCCTGGTGGGCGAAACGGACCAACGTCACCCAGTATGGTCGTCAGTGACTTCATTTCCCGCTGCCGAATCAACATCAGTTCAGATCGAGATTTGCGCCATCCTACACCTGGTAGGGTAGACAAAGCCCTCTTAGGTAAGCGGTGACCAGACATACGTAGTGCGTGCGCATGCCAACGCAACTTATTCAGTGCTATC